TCTTTGTCAGTTGTCAAATGTTATGCTCCGTTCAAACAGATGACGGCACTAATACGAAAATTTGGACAACATTATTTCGCTGAATTGTCATGTCTGTGTAAACTACATATGATATTATTTTTCTCGCTATTTCCTGACATCATTCAACAGGCACTCTTTGTATCTTCTGCTCAGTGGTCCATGAACGTTTATTAACAAGATAGACGGTATGGTAAAAGTATTGCACAATACTTTTGCTGATGATTATTACTGATAATGGTTTCGATTCCCATCATCAAGGTTTCTAGAGTTCATAGATTAGCCCTTAAAACATAAAGTGGTCTGTCAATCCCTTGTTATTTCAGCTTTGCTACCTGACCGTTTTAGGTTCCATAGTCTTGACGACTACGGCAAATGCCATACACTACCCTGCCCTTTCTTGTGGTCATTGTTCGTTCGTCGTGACTGAAGCACAAGTGCTGGAGAGCATACATTATCAGCTTGTTTACCATATTTGTCGAGACAGTCAATAGAGGGTTAGAACTTTTTATTTCCTTCTCTTTAGTTGATGTATAATTCTGCTAACATCCACCCATCCGCCAACTGCTAAATGAGTCATTCATCTACCCATTTGCAGCTCATGCTATTCTATTCAGGTGACAAGGCAAATGCATTAATTTTCAATATCCCTTCGCTGGTCTCAGAAGAAGAAGCTTCGTGGCCTGAATTTCAAGGCGCGACAACAGTAAATGTTCTCTATAGTCAAGTCGCTTGGTTTGTTGTCTGCTTCTACGCCACTCTCCCTGCGTCATTAGCTACAGATTTCTCCTCGGGAGAGTTGTGTTATTCCCAATCATTCGTGCCAAAAATAAAATTACAAATTAACCACACTTTTTTCATGCCATTGTCAGAACTCATTTCTTTCGAGTCTACATTCGATTTTTCTAGCATATTTTTATTTTCGTAATGTGGAATTTTACAAAGCTCTTTACGGGAAATCTACACGTCCACCACGGCTGAAACATCGTTTTTATTTTCTATTAAATATATGTCCAAAAGACTTGAAGTAGCTTCAAAGTAGTCGTAGCATTTGGTCATGATATGGTTGCATCACTAATGTTTTTATTCTTTGTGCTCAGCTACAGATATTTTCTCCTGATTGTTTCAATTTAGATCTTGCAACGATGGTACACTCTTTGCCAGTACGATGGTTCTCGGCCTCATCACCGCAACCAACAGCTACTTCGGAACATGCGCGTTCATGAAGCGGTTATCTCATTTTTGTCCATTCCATATGATCTGGTGAGAAGTTTTTGCTAGCAAGAGTATTACTGTATTCTGGTATCATT